ATTTTTTTCTGTGGGAGTGGGACGGGACAGGAGTGAAAATCCACTCCCGTGTCAGTCTCTACGGCGTTTTTTTAAAGATCTGCTGCACGTTCAAACGTGTTTCCTGTTCTGTTCTAAGACACGCAAACCACCTGAAGAGCAAGCCTTATGTGTTTAAGTAATGATATGTCTTATTAAGTAGAAAAGGTTTGCAGATTTTGCCAAATGTTCTGACTGACCTGATCTCCTTTCCTTCCAGGGGGGCCTTCGGTTCCTCTTTGACCAGGAAGACCCTGAGGAATACAAACAGGTGAAAGATGATATTCTTTCTAGTGAATACTCACTGTCTAGTGATTTCTCATGTCCTGAGAAAGAATGATGGTATGCAAACCTGAGGTCCACTTAGTCCTGGGGGACCTGGCTCTCCATACAGTCCAGGGGAACCCTGGAGGTTAGATAGGTTCAATATTTGCACATATTTAATCAAAAAATTCAAAAAGCATTCATGTTTCAAAAATCTATATCTCACTTTGGGTCCTTTTCCTCCGGCTGCTCCCATTGACCCATCGGCCCCCTGTGGACCCTGAAAAAATACAGAACACGTTGTTTGTCAGCTTTCTTTTCATCTTCCTCCTCGCTGTGATCAGAAAACGTCACATGAACTCCTTATCTATTTCCTTATTTAACGGTAAGGAAATGGACTTGCATCAATCCAACAGGAAAAGTATGAAAAACAGCAGTCAAGGGAAGGTACCCACTCACTGGGATTCCTGGTGGCCCCTGAGGCCCTTGAGGCCCTGGGGGCCCGATGCTTCCTCTGGGTCCAGGTTTGCCCGGCCCACCATTAGAACCTGGAAGACCAGCAGGCCCCTGAAAATGATCACAGAATCATGAGAAGGTGAGCACAGATTTTTTTATTATCAGGGTTTTCAAAATACTTTAGTTGTTTTATAACATTATAATGTTGTTTTTAATATTATTTTTTTCTTAAATCCCTAAACATTCCCATACATACATGCTTTTAGTCTGCATTCATTGACGATGTACAGGTGCTGGTCATAAAATTAGAATATCATGAAAAAGTAGATTGATTTCA